CTGTGGTCTTGTCCCAGTGGTCGTCTGAGACAAGGTCGAGTCTTCAGTGTCTTGTGAAAAGAAATCATGCTAACATGCTGATTTGGTGTTCAAGAAATAATTCTCATTATTATTAATGCTGAAATCAGTTGTGCTGCTTTCTATTTTTGTGGAAACCATGATCAATTTTTTTTGATGAACAAAGTTCAAAAGATATTTTGAACTTCGAGAAAATAATTTTTTTGCTTTTTTTTCCCTGGTATCTTTCAGAAACACAAACAACATGAATATTACATAAGATGACAACCTATGATCATTTAATAAGTTAATTTCAAGTGTCAAGGCCCAATGACCTGACTCTTTGTGTATCACCAACACCTTTTTCATCTCAGAATTTCCTCCCTTCATTAAGCTGTTAATTTTCTCTCCGTTTCTCTTTTTTCTTACTCTACTGATCATGTTTCAGGCTGACTGAAAAAAATAAAAATAAAAAAACAAATGTTTACATTTCAAACAATTATTTTAGTTTTAACACTAATGCAGCTTTTTTAACAGAATTTTAATGGTATACATGTAATAGAATCCAAAGTCTATTTAAAGGTGAAGTATGTCATTTCTGTGCCACTGTTGTCTTTTGGGAACTCAAATAAATAAAATGTCAAACTTGACTTTTAATCTACTTTGACAGTTTTCACAAACAGTGACATCTTTATTTTAATAATACGGTGAAACTTACCCTTCTCTTAAGTCTTGTTCTTGAAAGTTGCATGCTTCTCTTCATTAAGGATCCCCAAGAAAACGGCAGTTTAAAAATAGATTGTCACTCTGCAGGACTTCATAATTAGCGACTATATAGCATAGACTTCTTTGCATTATGCAATATATTAATTCATGAATAAATACAAATTCTTTTTAATTTTATGATTTTTTCATTTAATTATGTATTACACGATTTACATAAATATTTATTTTTAAGTAATCTGCCATCCATAAAAAGTATGCATTTAATGGTCAAAGTTAATAGATTATTTTATTGACAAGGATAGTGAGAGAAGACACATATATATATATATATATATATATACATATACATATACATA